GTCATTGTCCCACCCAACATTAACATACATTGTCCCCACTGTAACTAAAACACTTGACTTTTGTAACCTACCCAGTTGTTAGGTGGTAGTCTTGTGCCATTTATGTCATATTTTGGGTTGCGCCACACATAGAAGTCTTTGTAGTCAGTATCGTTTTTAATTGACTTTAGGAACCAAGGATGTTCGTTACTCGAGTGGTTGGGGACGAAATCCAGTAGAATCTTGATGTCTGGAATAAAGATTCATAGATTATATATATTAAATATATATACTACTTATACATATTAAATACATTTACGAACCAGTATGCTTGTTATAAATGTTAAATTGTATAAACAATTTGAAACGAAGCAAATACGAAAAATATAGCATACTTATAAATTCAAACTAGTCATGAGTCAATTAGTTTGAGAACAATTACAAGACAAAATTGAATATGACCTAAAGCTGGCTTCTTTAATAGCATAGTAGACAGATTGTGAACACATATCATCTTACTAATCTTACTAATATTATAAATGTGAAAGTTTGTGTGTTTGTTTGTTTGTTTGTTTGTTTGTTTGAAGTTCAATCACGCATAAACCACTGGACGGATTGGGCTGAAATTTGGCATGATGATAGCTTACATTCCCGATTAACATATAGGCATATTCTTATCTCAAAAATCCTTTCGGGCTCCGCCCCAGTGGCTCTGTAATTCCCCATGTTAACCTTATGAGTATTCATATTTAAAGGGAATTAAAGAATTTAGTCAGCTGTTTCAACTAAAAAAGTTGGTTCTATGACATGGAAAAGCATTAAAAAGTTATAAGATTGACCAACAGGGTGCAGCACTATATTTTTTTTGCATTTATGAAAACAGCTAATTTGAATTAAGCAGCAACAAAAAACTGTGATTCGCAATGAGAACTGTCAAAGTAGGATTGTTTACAGTTATGTATATGTTTTTCGTTTCATGAATAGTTTGTGATATTTTGCGAATTGATAATTTATTTTTTTCTATTGTTTAGGTTAAATGGTAGAACATTATGGCTATGGTAGATGTGTAATACTATAGAATACTGTAAATTTAAAAAAGCAAATTTTATCAAACTGTGTCCTCCACCCATTGCAATCGCAAAGCTTGAGTATAACTGCAATAAGCATTTTATACTTATATTCCAACCCCGTACGAAGGACGGGTACTCTGCTAGTTATTTCTATAAACATGCAAACTATCTTACATTTTTTTTTTAGTGGAAAAATAACCTTTCTTTAGAACGCATCTTTTGAACGTACAAGGGCCGTGGGCATCGCATTGAACTAAATATTTGAGATATTTTTACACATGATGCATATGTGTATGTATTATTTACATAAAACGTTACATATTTTTCTCTAGGATCTCGGCAAAACTAACACAAAAATCATAGGACAAATATAACGACCTTGTGTCACTCCACACTAATGTCTCTTTCATTTTCTAATAATATCTTCGTCATACCCAATTCTCTGAATGTGGCCACAAGCTCTTCAAAGTCCTCTATGGTGCCGAATAGTGGGTCAATGTCCGTAAAGTTGGAGATGTCATAGCCAAAGTCTGCCATGGGGGAAGTGAATATTGGAGACAACCACACTGCGGTCACGCCGATCTCCTTGAAGTAGCTTGCCATCTGCGTGATGCCTATTAGAGATAATAAAAATGATAATCATATTTTTTTGTGATAACTCAAAGTTAACTTGCCCTGAAAAATACTTTTACCTACAACTGTTTTCTACACCAGGCTATTCAATTCCGTTCTTATAAGCGGAAACATTCACTATACAAAATCGTTTACTTACTTAACAGCCTGTTTTTAGTTTTAGCGAATTTCCCATATAGGGAATAAGCTATTACCGCAGTACTCATGCTCATGGTAGGACCTGGACCCGGGACCGATTTACGTTTTCTTTTTGAGGTCCCTAGAGGCCAAAAACACCATCCGTTCAAATTCATATAGTATAATATATAATATATATTATTCTTGAGGAGATCTTGATAGAGTTTATGATAAATGAAACATGAAACATTGCAAATTTTCGTTTAATATAAACGTTTTCAAGCAAAGAGAAATTAATGAAAAATGTAAAAATGAACAAAACAAATAAATATACAAATAAATAACAAATAAATATGTTTACAAATAGTTGAATTTTGAGAACATATGATTGAGTACATATGTATATATACATTTATATATGTGTATCCGTTAGCGTGATAACTCGAGCAAAAATGTTCCGATTTTGATGAAATTTGGTACAAACGTGTAAACCTACATTTATTCGAACGATTTCGTGAACCAGCATGATCGGACTATGGGAACAAGGGTTTATGGGGGGGTTTATGGGGGGTTTATTGGGTAAAAGTTGGGTTTCCCCATTTTTTACCCTAAAAACACAACATTTCACAATTTATTTCCAAATCATTTTGTAGAGCTAAAAAACAAATAATTTAGTATATTGAAGCGTTACCTGATGGTTACGGATAAAATTCCAAAAAAATTTAAATTTAAAATCCCCATGTTATTTTTATGGAGAATAAGTCAACTGTTTTTGTAGTTTTCTTGTTTATGAACATATTTTTATCAAATTTTGAAAATACATTCATTTCTTACTAAACTACAGTGTTCATTTACAACAAAAACACTTTTTTACCGTCTCTGTTACAGCAAACCTAAGTACTCGTTAAACTAATATTTTTAAATAGAGAATAAATGTGATAGTTTTAAGGAGACATTTTAGTGTAAATCCAATCTCCAATCAGGCAAATGGAAATTCGCTAAGTCTGCAGGTGGCTGTGGCGGGGGTATTTTTTTCTTGACAACACTAACAGACCAATGAGGTTGAAGGATTGAGAGATAAGAAGTCAAATTGTAATGCTCCGAACGAAAACTTATCAGCTGGTAAGACCAATTTAATTGTAAATGGTTGATACAATGAGTCGTTGCATCACTATCAGTGGGAATGATCGGCTATTGTATGAATATAGCAAACATATATTCATTAGATACATAATTTAATGTAAGAGAATTGTAATATCAAAATGTCACGTCTTATAATTAAAAATTAGTCATTAAGGAATCTAAATCAAGCTATTAGTGTTACCTTACCATGTGTTCAACAGTAGAAGATACTCCTGTGAACATTACTATGGTGACTTCCAAGGGATGCAGAGGTTATAGGCTGAATTCATTTTTTTTTTAGAAGACCCCAGATTTTATCTACCCAACCTCTTCAAGAAGATTTAATTAATTTACACCTCAAGAGGACATGATTTCAACTTCATCTTTCAAACTTCAGTAAACCCTTCTTTTAAACCTATTAATAAATTCAGTGGACATTTTGGACTTATGGACAACGCCAAAACTGATTTCATTGTTGGAATATTGCAAGCTACACAGGAATTATTTTAAAGTTATTTCATTTATTTAATAATTGCATTCAAACCAGCACGACACCCTACATCGGGATAGAGTTTTTTAATCAAGCTTTTAAAAATCTATATTTAATAAGCCTAAATAAAAAAAAATAATAATCCTTCAACTAACTGTAGGCCTATATTTTATTGTGAGTCCTTTCATTATAGCTTTTTAACTTTGTTACACCATTAATTTGAATTCAATAAATATCTTTGTTAATTGTACTGTATATTGTTCTAATGTAGTGTAGCCTGAAGGGAATGTTGTGGAATATTACAAACTTATTCAGTATATTAATGGGAGAAAATGGTCGCAAAGAGGGATTTTAGTTTGTTAACTTATTCAGAATATTCTCAAACATTTTGTAAACGTAATGGACCTTCAAACTCTCTGGAAGGGATCATCCTCTAGGTGATATATGGGATAAATTATTTAATCTATTTATTTTCCATAGTGTACATTTTATTCATACACGCACTTGGTGAAGGGGTAATCTGTATAGCAAAATCATCATATTATCACAAGCTGGTCGAGTCAGTCCCGATACAGAGATATACTTACAATAAAATACAAGGTTGGAATTCCCTAAAAGGTTCTATTTGATAGCATTTAACAGTGGCCAGAAAAGTATATTTTAAATATTTTTAATTCGTAAGAGTTTTTTTATCATTTTGTAGTCTGTGCTGTGACAAAATGAGAAATAGATAATATTAGGCATGCGACTTATTGAGGATTGTGTGTTGAGATTATGAGTAAAATGACGAGACTGTAAGATGTAGAATGTTCAGGCATTGATAGTCAACGGTTCAGGATTTCTGTTACTCGTTTAAACAATTAATAATCTATATATCTATATACTAGCTGTAACCCGCGGGCTTTGCCCCGTTTAACTTCTTAATTTTCAAGATTATCTCGTTCGCATGGCTCAATCACGTCCTGGTTGAAGTTTGTTCGCTACGCTCACTCACCTTTAGGTTGGAACTCGTTCGCTACGCTCACTCACCTTTAGGTTGGAGCTCGTTCGCTGCGCTCACTTGCCTTCAGGTTAGCTCGTTCGCTACGCTAACTCGCCTCCAGGTTGAAGTTCGTTCGCTACGCTCACTCACCTTTGGGTTGCAAATTAGCTGTTGTCATAAATGTAAAAGAAATAATAGTGCTGCACCCTGTTGGTAATCCTTGTAACTTTAATGCTATTGAACATCATAGAACAGAACCAACTTGTTTAATGGAAACAGCTGTTAAGATTCAATAATTCCATTTCTCATAAGGTTAACATGGGAAACTCCAGAGCCACTGGGGCGGAGCCCGAAAGGATTTTTGAAATAAGAATATGCCTATATGTTAATCGGGAATGTGAGCTATCATGATGCCAAATTTCAGCCCAATCCGACCAGTATTTTTCGCGTTCACTTGTCACAAACATACATCCATACATCCATACATCCATACATCTAAACTTTCTCATTTATAATATTAGTAGGATTTAAAATCTAATGTATGTTTGTTTGTATGTATGTATGTTTGTTTGTCCTTTATGGACTCCGAAACCGCTCGACAGATTGTAATGAAACTTTAAGGCATTATTAAGCATTATTCAAGGATGGTTTGTGTGAAGTTTGGTGCAGATCCGTCAAAAGGGCTCCGCCCCAGTGGCTCTGGAGTTTCCCATGTTACCCTTATTTAAATGGAATTAAAGAATCTTAACAGCTGGTTCATCTAAAACAATTTGATTCTGTGATGTTCAATAGAATTAAAAAGTTAATAGGTTTACCTACAGGGTGCAGCACTATTTTAATTTATGGCAACAGCTAATTTGCAACCAAAAGGTGAGTGAGCTTAGCGAACGAACTTCAACCTGGAGGCGAGTTAGCGTAGCGAACGAGCTAACCTGAAAGCAAGTGAGCGCAGCGAACGAGCTCCAAGCTAAAGGTGAGTGAGCGTAGCGAACGAACTTCAACCAGAACGTGATTGAGCCATTTGAACGAGCTCATCTTGAAAATGAACGAGCATTTGACATAAAACTACATTAGGACAGGACGACGTCTGTCGGGCCAGCTAGTAAAAAATATCAAAAACTAATGAGTAGTTAGAATTACATGCCCAGCTAAACTTAACGTAGTAACACATTTGAAAAGTCTCTGGCTTTTAAAAGGGAATCCCGTAACAAGTGAAGAACGCTCAATACAACAATGTTAAAGTTTACTTAAAACTCACCTTTTAAATCTCCCACTCCGTCGCCATCGCTGTCCTTAAAAGACCTCGGGTATACTTGGTACACAGTCGCCGAGCTGTACCAAGTCTGAGGAGGGTCGGCCCCTAGGACAACCCCTAGGCTCACCACAAATAACACGCTCCAGAACCACATCGCGAGTGGCTATACACTTCTAGTATCCAAATTTAGCAACGAGCTTATATAAAAAAGATAACCGGGCCATATTTAGGATTATAGACTATCATAGGATTTAGTCGATTGGTGACAAGGTTAATTCGTCAATTCGTCACTTCAAAAAATGATTAAAGTAATATATCATTGTAGTCTTATGTAACCGTACATGAGACTCATTTTTCAATTCTTTACAAACGTCAACGGTGAGTATTTCAAACATTCCATTAGGTATTTGTAATAAAGCTGTCTTTGGTGTTTGTAAAATAAAATGGTAGCAACCGTTACAACTATGGATAGGGAGTAATGAAAAAAAAACTTTAAGACAAACTGTTTTTTTTTTATTATTTTCTATAGTTCGTTTATTATTTATATGGTGTACCAACCCGGCAGACTAGGGTGATACAAAAACGCATATGGATCATTTATAAGTATTTTGTTTGGAAATGTGAGTTAAATAATTTGCCTGATTCCTGATTGGATAGTCTTTAAAATATTTTCCTTAAAATGTATTATTATTTTTCTATTCAAATAACATTAAGCTTAATGAGTACTTAGGTTTGCTGCGTTTTCCATAAGCTATAAGGAACCGTTTAAGAAGAATTATAAGAATTAAGAATCAACATTTTATGTTTTGAGGTGATAATGGGAAACCAAAATGTTTTGCCATAAAACACCATTCTCATCCGCAGGTGAGTTTTTCACCTCTGAGGATATAAAAACAAAATAAAATCACTTCCACATCTAGGTATATCCATGAAATCTATGGTGTTTGGTAATCTTATTGTTAAGGAAAATTCAAAGCAAATGGAATACAGTAATGGAAGTTATAGTATATTTGAATTGACCTGGCTAATGCAAACTGTATCATTGTTAATTTGGTTAAATAAAATGATTTGATTTGAAGTTATTGAGCCCCATAACCAACTAAATCCAACAGTAATTTGGCAAATTTGCTAGCTCTACTTAAACATTAATAAAAGGCATTAAAAAAAAAATCGTTTGAAAAATAAAAAGGGTTGTTCAAAAGCCATTTGCAGAATTTTGATTTAAAACATTTTTTCAGGATATTTCGGTATTAAATGTATTAGCTTATTGTATATTTTTAGTGAGATTACAATATGGCTTTTACGAGTTTTGGACAGTCTAACAAAATTCATGGTAACAACGTTTTTATTCCTCGTAATTACTGTTGATTACGGTGTTAGCATTGACTATTGGCTACAGAAGAAGACATCCCATTTATATGAATCAGCTGTCACCAATTTTTCACTTACAAAGAATGTTGTGTGAGGCAGTCAAATGTGCTAGTGTCTAAAATTATATTTTCTACCTTTTTTCTTGTTGCTGACATAGTTGATGGGTCATTACAGTTGCTATAGCTCACAATAAGTCGGTCCATCAGTTTGACTTGGTAAAAACCATCGCGTATTCGACATAAATCAGCAATTTAGATCAGCGCAATCTGTTGGTGGCTCACATCAACTAATACAAATTTGATTAAAAACCTGGCAACAACTTTAACATAGGGATGGAATGTCTAAGGTGTTAGGTTATATCTTTGACTATTAATACAACAACTATATAGAACATTGCATTCTAACATGCGTAGATTTTCCCTACGATGCAAACGAGCTGAGAAAAAAGGTTTTAAAGAAACACGCTTGCCTATTAATATATAGATAGATATATAGATAATACAATGAAATAGTACATGCCAAACTATTTCGGAATCATCATCCTGTAAGTATACGACGAAGCATCCATAGCCGTAACATATTACGGGAACTTCATCCTTCTCTCTGACGGCAATCAAACTGACCAAGCACCTTTCCTCAAATACCCAATTCATGGTTGGATCTCGCACGCACAAGGTGGTCAACTCAACTGGGTGGTACGTACAAATAAGTTAAAACTTTGATTTGAGAATTTATCATGAGTTTTAGATAATTATCTTTCTCCCAAAATACTACATTAATTTAACTTTAATTTTATTTAGGTTGGCAACCACAACAACATCAGAGTTGCAGCCAGATACGGACCAGAAATGGTGGACTCCATCAAAGTCTTGATAGGAGTTCTGCCAGGCATAAAAGTGACTTAAAATGGTGAAGAAATCTGCATGAGGGACACGTTCATAAGATGGGACCAGACTGTGGACCCTAGCGGCAGAAACTTGGGACCCGACCATTACCTGGAGGGGACCAGTGACCCTGAGAGAACACACATGCAGTGAGACGACAGAGTGTGGGTGAGTTATACATGAAACAATACTGAACTAACTCACAAGACTTTTATTTTTATTGTAGACTAGCTGGCCCGACAGACGTCGTCCTGTCCTATGCTTTTATGTCAAATGCTTGTTCATTTTCAAGATCCTGGTTGAAGTTCGTTCGCTACGCTCACTCACCTTTAGGTTGGAGCTCGTTCGCTGTGCTCACTTGCCTTCAGGTTGAAGTTCGTTCGCTACGCTCACTCACCTTTTGGTTGCAAATTAGCTGTTGTCATAAATTTAAAAAATATAATTGTGCTGCACCCTGTTGGTAAACTTATTAACTTTTAATGCTATTGAACATCACAGAATCAAATTGCTTAGTTAAACCAGCTGTTAATTTTCTTTAATTCCATTTAAATATGAGTACTCATAAGGTTAACATGGGAAACTCCAGAGCCACTGGGGCGGAGCCCTTTTGACGGATCTGCACCAAACTTTACACAAACCATCATTGAATAATGCTTAATAATGCCTGAAAGTTTCATTACAATCTGTCGAGCGGTTTCGGAGTCCATAAAGGACAAACATACAAACAAACATACATTGGATTTTATGTATATAGATTAATCCATAAATTATAAAGTTTGCCTATAAGCTCCTTTTGGTTCCATCTTCAAAAAAGTCAGTAGCTTTTTGATTGGTCAAAACTAGACCCAACTGTTTATGATCATTGGGCGTTAAACAAATGATCCCGGCTGATAAACAAGCTTATCTTAAGTCAGTAACAAAGCAACAAATCATCTGACTCCATTCTACACTCATCGAGCGCTTCACTCATATTTGGGTTAAAATACACACCTCGGGCGACCCAATCTGAATAGATAATTGATAATAACAATTAATTAATAATTAATCATTGATTGTATTGCAAAAATGTAATATTAAATTACTAGACACCCCTGTGAAAATCTTTTAACCGATTCAATAGCTATTGTAATCAACTGCCTATTGGTACTGCGTATTGGTATTTTACTCACTTTAAAACCAGAAATGGGGACCTGGATTAAGGACCATTTGGGGATGAGCTAGACACTAGACATTTTCTGTGGTTTTAGGTCTGTTGGCCATGACCGTGAGAAAAGTAAAATGGAATTTTCCTAATCCCACATCACGAAATTTCTTATTCCCTCCCATGTTGTTCTAATGTGGAATAATGTTGAAAGAGACTCACATTAATATGTGTATCTAAAACCTTTTGGAACGTGCTAGAGACTTAAAGTTTGATATGGATAGAACTTGATCTTAAACTACCGGCACAAGTTCAGATATTGAAAATGGTGAATGGTTGAAATCGCTAAAACATAATTATTTTTCTACGAGCTTTAGCGGGCGAATAGAGTCACATTTAAAAACTGACTACCCTGCGTAAACTTTTAAAGAATTACAGTTTTGATGATGACCGCATAATTTTTTTCTTATCTCCACTCCTTAACAACCAAATAAGTCGTCAAACTTAAAATGTTATATTACCGGTAATAATCTACTTCCACTGATTTGGTCTGTTCCTGTAGACACAACAGGGCCTGTAGGAATACTAGGCAATCCCGAGTGTATAATATAATATCACAGCCTGGTTGTTATTCTCTGTATACACTAACTTGGCGTCTGGACCCTTGACTACCTGAGACCGGGCCGGGGCCGTCCCTTGCTCGCTCACTTCTTGAGCAGCTGTTTCCTTAAATAGTCAAGAAGTAGGCTAAACTTAAACGTGTAGTTAAATGACACAGCTTATGATAAGAACTTTAATAGTGTGCGAGCTAATCAGTCCTGTAGGTTCAGTTTCAAACTCCTCTAGTCCCGTCGCCAGGTATTTTAGAGCCCATCTTAATCCGTAAGATTACTTATAGTGTTTTTTATTCACTTTCTTCTGAGAAAATACTTTGAGGTGAATTAAAAGTCAGTAATGTTAATTATTGGTATATTTTTATCACAAATACAGTATAAACAAGAACGAACATTTGCACACATCACAAACAAACGACACATGAATTATATATGTATTAATTATATATTATAACTTGACGTAACTCACGAAATGTTCCACGCAAATGTTTTGGAATGAATAAGTTATATATTTATCACGTTTTTGGCATTTTATTGCAGTTTACATTTAAAAGGGTACGAAAACGTATCCGACAGTACTAAGTTACAATAAAACTTAATCATACTTTATCACGATACAAATTAATTATAATTTAACCTATTTAAACAAACTATGACCAAAATCTCGATAAAAGTAACGTCGCAAAAGCCAACAATGAGATGGTCAGCTGTGGTGGGGCATCAGATCCAGTAGAGTTGGACCAAGTCTTGGTTGTAAGCAGAACTGACGCCTTTGGCCTGAGCGTGATGTTGAGTGAACCTTTTTGTTGGTACAACCTGTGTGGGAACATATTTGTTTAACATATTTATTTGTCCATGCAAATAGTATTTAAACATTTTTGGATCGGTATAAAACATGGAAAAGAAATCGGTATAAATTTCACATAGCTTAAAACGTTAGCACGTGTGTGGATTCAATCATAGTCTCTGCTCGTGGAAAAAAAGAACCTGCGAAAAAATGTTTGGAAGATCCATGAAATAGAAATGCACGATGTTACTACTATAGCTTAAAAAACTATTAACCTTTAAGTATGCACTTAAAGGTTAACGGTTAAGTATGCAATTAAGTATGCACAAACATTTGATGTTCAAAGCCTGCTTTAA